GGTTGTGATTCTTTAGATATGAATTTACCCAGGAGTCAACCTCCAGCTTTTAAAATTTTTAGAGTTTTAAATATATATATATATATATATATATATATATATATATATATATATATATATATATATATATATATATATATATATATATATATATATATATATATATATATATATATATATATATATATATATATATATATATATATATATATATATTAGAAGCAGGAAAGACATTCAAAGCTACTGAGGCACTGGATGACAAAGAAGCCAAAATGTCCAAGGTTCTTAGATGTTTTTTTAAAGTTACTCATCGAAGGCTCTTGAGTAAACCTAGCATCCATGGGATAAGAGGCCAGGTCTTTTTATAAATTGGTAACAGGTTAGAAAGAACAGAAAGGAGAGTGTGGAAATAAAGCAGCAATTATCTCAGTGGAGGGAAGTACGAAGTAGAGGCTCTCAAAGACCTTTATTGGGAATCTATTCAGCTTATTCAGAAATGATGCTAAACAGTAAACTGCCCAGGTATGGGGATGATAATAAAATATTTGAGCTGATAAACAACAAAAATAACACTGAAGAACACTGGAATTATGTCTTTAAATTGGATCAATGATCAACCAAGTGACCAATGTAGTCCAATTTAAGTAACTATGAGGTAACACATATTGGGGCATACAAGCCTTCCTCATATAGAATTTGATGTGGTCTGAGCATTGTAACTAATTGACAAAGATCTTGGGGTCCTAGAATAACACTAAAATAAGTGGTGTGGCAACTGTGAAAAATGCAGCAAAAGATCATTAGGAAAGGGACTAAAAATAAAATCAAAACATGCCAGCATTGTAATCCCCATTTATGGGACAGAGCTTGATAAAAAAGACAATTGAGTGAGAACATGACTAAGGCATATAAAATCATGCATGTACAGGCTGGAGAAAGTAGGTGGGAGGGTTTTTTTTTTCCTTTGGCTCTTAAACATTAAGACCAAGGCCATGCAATAAAGCTTATTGGATTATTTAAAACAGACAATAGGAAGCATTTCTCCATATAAAGCATAATTAGACTGTGGAATTCATTACCACATGGCATAGGGACATCTGGAAGGCCACTATGAGAAACAAAATGCTGGACTAAAGGATGGGTTTTTGGCCTAATCCAGCAGGACTATTCTTATGCAGGAATGCGTACCAATCAAATTATTCCATTTGGACTACAACTCAGCAATTTGGAAAATAGACCAGTTTCATCTTAGACCCGTTGGAAAGCTATCCGGATTGATTGCAGGGCCAAATGCAAATTAAAGAGTTGGAAATGTGAATCTTTGCACACTCCCTGACTTTCACGGAGAATTGACACATGACTATAATTGTTTACTTTTTTTTTTTTTACAGATCTATTTTTTTTATAGGTCTATTAAATGCGTATGTATGGCAGAATATTACAAGAGGGAGAAGTCTATCAAGTTTCAGAAAGGAACTTGGACAAAATTAGATGAAACGTGAGAGCATAGTTGCCCCTTCTGAGTGGATCAGAGCTGCCAAATTCAAGATGAATAGCTTCAGGGATTTTTCTTTAAGGCCAAACTTTGAAATGTGTTGTGCATTTGCAGGAGAGTGGGATTCTGAAAAAGAAATGCATTTTCCAATGTGAACAACTGTCAGATTTGAGTTTTGAGACTATGCCTCTCATATCTCACAGATTGTTTGATATACCTGAGATGGAGAATTAGCAAAAATTACTAAGTGTTAGTAAAAAAACAAGGAAACTCTCCTTTCAGATGAACTTCATGCTGCACCCAACCTTTCAGCAATATGAGCATTATTTGCCATTGTCTTCTTCAAGTTGCCCTATATCCCCAATATTCCTTGGAGCTATACCTTCTCATTGTCAGTCACAACACTCCTTAGCTTCTGTGCCCAAGTAACGCCAACCAGATACCGCTAGTTCTATTATACAGGTAGTTCTCAACTTACAACAGTTCATTTAGTGACCATTCGAAATTACAATGGCACCGAAAAAAGTGATATATGACTATTTTTCACACTTAGGACCATTGCATGACCACTGCATGATCAGAAGTGGTCACATAATTTACATTTACGTTCAGATACTTGACAATTAACTCACATTTATGACAGTTACAGCGTCCTGGAGTCATGTGATCTCTTTTTGCAACCTTCTAACAAGCAAAGTCAATGGAGAATCCAGTTTCGCTTAACAACCGTGTTACTAATTTAAGAATTGCAGTGATTCACTTAACAAACGTGGTGAGAAAAGTCGTAAAATGGAGCAAAAATCACTTAACAAATTTCTCACTTAACAACAGAAATTTTGGGCTCAATTGTAGTCACAAGTTAAGGACTACCTGTATATTTCAATGTCTCTTGTCTGGAATACCATGACTGGAGAACCTTAGTAAAATAATATACTGTTTTTATTTTAATTGCAAAAAACAAAGCTGAAAGCATTTTGGTTCCTTCATTTTTTCCACACCTTGATTTTTTTTCTTATATCAGAGATATATCCCATCACATACTGGTGAACTGCAACTCTGAGAATACCAGCTGCCCTTGTTAGCTGTGGCTTCTGGGAACTATAGTTCAGCAGTATCTAGAGAGCCAAAGGTTCCTAGCACTGCATATAAAATGCTTGGAGGAAAATATATAGATATTAACAGGAACACTGCATGCACGTTTTTGACTCTCCAAATCTCTAAATTAATAGTGAAATGTCAGGGGAGTTCAAGGGAATTCAGATCTGAACGCAGAATGTGGAAAAATAATAAATAAATAAAAACGTACCACAAACATTTCTTAATTTACCTGAGGAATTTGTTGAGATCTCCATGTTTCATGTATTCAAAGACCATGATGAGAGGATCTCCCTCCACACACACTCCATAAAACTTGACAATATGTTCATGCTGTAGATTAGTCAGTAGTTCTGCTTCTCGATGGAAGTCTTTGCGGGCATTGTCACTGGCATCTTTCAGAGTCTACAAAGAAAGAATTAAAAGTTGAAAGAAAGGTATTTATCTCTAGATGCTTAACAACTTCTGTCACATTAGTCTTGGGGGGGGGGGGGAATTATGAATTTGGAAGGAGTTAGCTTAAAAAGATTAGGTGCTTTGGTGTAACTATATCATAGTTACTATACTATTGGTAGCTTCTTCACCGGAGACAAATTCCTTGTGTGTCTAATCACACTTCACCAATGAAATATTCTATTCTGTTCTGTTCTTGGGATTCTCAACTCTGAACTCAGTGACTCTAATATCCACATTTCTGATCCAACTTTTTTTTCCAACCCAATTTTGGAATATTGAGAAGAAATTATGTCAATGCTTGGCACTCTGTCTATTCATCTGTCTGTCCATCATCAAGGCAACTATCTCAAACCTGTATAGATAATCCTTGACTTACGTCATTTAGTGACCATTCAAAGTTACTTATCAACGGCAGTGATTCACTTAACAATTGCAGCAAGAAAGGTTGTAAAATCAGGCAAAAATCACTTAACTAATGTCTCACTTTTACAACAGAAATTTTGGGCTCACATATGTTTGTAAGTTGAAGACTACCTGTACTGAATGAGGTCACATTTGTTATTGAAGCCAACCCAGAAGACTGAGCTAAAAAACCCAAAATCCTTCATTTTTGTCTTGGGTTACATCTCCCCACATTACTGTTGTTCCTGATGAACTCAAAATAATATTGTGATATTTTTGGAAATACTGCAGTAAAATATCAAGGAGTTTTTGCTGAACTTTGTAATATCGTAAAGATGGGAGATACATTTCTGAGGAACTACTGTCATAACCGTATCTACATACAGGCAAAATGGTATTTATGCAGAAAGACAGCACTAGCAGCCTGAATATACCCGCCCTTATCTCTCCCAGGAGTGTTACAGCGATAACCATAAAACTTCATTTGGTAGAACATGTTGCATCTATAGTGCTATTAAGCCCTTGCTATAGAACTCCTAAGGAGCCCAGTGAGCTTTTGCTTTTGATCTACAAGAAGCTGCTGAGTTCTATGATGGAACGGTTGCTGTGGTAACAATACACTGCCTTGTGAAATAGCCAAATGAACAAGTTCTCTTAATCCAGATAGGTTCCTTTTGTCTGAGAATTACACTTGTGGGAACATTTTTATGACATCCTCTAATGTTGGGGTCCTCAGTGCAGTTCTCGTAAGACTAGAAACTTGCTTAATAAATTGTTTTTCGTCCTTGCCCTCTCCATCCCTCTGAGACCTCAGCACTTTCCAGATGTCTTTCGCAGGATTAACTGCGAGGGAGGACTTTTCAGTGGCCATCCCTTCCTGCTAACTCCAGGAAACTCTGAGGACAGCTTCCATGTACATGTTCTAAATACTGACAACAGTAGAGTTGTCATAAAGCTTTTCCTCAGATGAACGTTTACTTTTCTCGAAATAGAATAGATTTCTTTGTCGAGATCACTGCTATATCTGGAAGAACATTTTATTTTCCTCATCCATTTTCAACAGTTTATTTATTTATTTGTTTGTATCACAACTATATAATTTTTACAAATAACTCAAGGCGGTGGACATACTTAATACTGCTTTCTCCTCCTTTTCTCTACTACAACTCTGTGAGGTGGGTTGAGTTGAGAGAGAGTGACTGGCCCAAGGTTACCCAGCTGGCTTTCATGACTAAGGCGGGACTTGCTCATAGTCTGCTCTCTACCCTGGTGCCTTAACCACTAGACCAAACTGGCACTCCTTAGAAAAGATAGTAAATATCTTTACTATCTTCTTAAAATGTTTCTCAATCAACTTACCTAAAATAATCCTGAACTGTAAATGTTCGTTTATCTGTTGGTCAATCTGCAGGATAACTCCCTAAACACTGAACAGAACTGGACCAAATTCTATAAGTGGCAGAAGCCAGGAAAAGGAAGAATGAATTCAAAATCGGAGGAAAATCTGTTTATGGAGAAAACTATATTTGGGGCAATTTTCCCCACATTGCTGTAGTTCCTTATGAGTTCAAAATAACATTGTAAGGTTTTTGGGAATATTATGATAAAATAGAAAGGCTCAGAGCTTATCCTGAACTTTGCAATATTGCAAAATAAGAGATAATCTTATAGAAATAACCAAGTTATAGCTGTAGATGTGTTCCAGATAAAATTGCATTTATATACTGAAAATGATCCCTAGTATTTTGAATACTCATCCTTATCTCTCCTAGCACCATAAAAAAGATAAACATAAATTTTCATTTGAAGACATACAATTACCTTGATTGTAATTTTAAACAGCAAAATCCTAATGTTAGTGACTTGAATGTTTTCAAAATGAAAACATGAAAACCCTTCAGAAATCAGGCAAAGTAGAGAGCAATGTGTATTAATGACTAGAATTAGAGAAGAAATTAGTCAGTTCCAGACTTTGATACAATTTGAATTAATTTGTGCCCCCACAATTGATAATGGACAAATTAGAATGCCAACACAGTTATCTTTTATCTTTTGCAGTGTAGTACTTTGACCAATAAAAGTATCTAAAAATAGCATAGAAGATGGCATATGAAAATACCTATATTAGGGGAAATTGCTTGCAAAGAAATGCACATATTAAGAGCAAAAATGCATAAGAATGCATACTGCAAACAGATGCCAAATCAGGATAGAAAATTTGGTGGCTAGAAAAAAAATACTAATTTTATATCAAACAAAATAGGCAACTTTATCCATCTTTACAGAAGTCTGTAATTTAGCCTGTTGCCAGTGTGGCTTCTTAGAATAAGATTTCTCCACTTCTGAATAAAAGTAATGTAACACAAGTCAACTTTCAAACAAGATAGAAAAAGGCTATTTCCACTCAGCACACCCTCTCATCACATTGGTTTTAGAAGACTTACAGAAAGCGAGCATGCCATTTAAATCTCACTTAAATCTTACACAGGAGCTGACTGGAAAGTGGAAGCCTACAAATCAAACTCTCTACAAACAAACTGAAAGTAAAAATAAACACATTGCCCCCCTCTTTCTTCTTCTCCTTCTCTATAGAGATTCTCAGTCATCCAGTCACGGTTATCCCAAAGGTGCTAATTAAAAGGCAACTAGACTTTCTTGGTATTTTCCTTGAAAATGTTTCACTTCTCATTCAAGAAGCTTCTTTATTTCAGAACTGAAGAAGCTTCTTGGATGTGACAAGAAAGTCCAGTTACCTTTTGAACAGCACCTTTGGAACCTTCTCCTTTCCAAAACATTAGCTGTGTTTTTCTTTTCTATGTGTGAACATGTATAAATTTATTTACCCTATTTCTATATAAGATCTCAGAATACCTACTCTTTTCAAATTATTTATGGTTACAAGATCAGAATATCTGCTGATTTTTTTTTCGCTTCCCCCTTTTCTTGCCAAACCCTTCATTTTCAGCTCTAGACTTCCCACAAGGCACAACAGTAGCTATTTCTTCACATGCATACAGTACACAATGCTGTTCTGGGTTGCTCAGCAACCAGTGAAGAGGCATGTCAAAGATCCAATGAATGAAAAGAAAATGTGACAATACTCGAACGTTAACAAAGATATGGGGCAACTTGTTCTGTTGCTCCTCAATCTACATTTTTTCTGACATGGACATATCGATCACAAAGTACTCCATCTCAACTGGAGAAAATAGAAACCATTTTGCAAAACTGGTGGTCAGTGCAACTCAGCTCTGCACCTATTCTGGAGTTTGCCTCACCAGTCTCCAGAATGTGTCCTTATTATTGTTTGTGTTTCTGGATTTCTTCTTGCATGAATTGTGCTTGTCCATTTCATCTCTTAATCACAGAGACAACCACGGAGTTTGAAAAACAAAGTAAACCCAAATGAAAGCTAATGCTTAGCTTTGAAGTCAAATCCCCAGATCTGTCAAAAAGTGACTTATTTTGTGTATATGTGTTAAATGTATGAAAGGAGTTAAAGAAGAGAATAAGATTACATACAATGGAGCTGTTCAATGCTTGTATTCTTCCGACAGAGAAAACCAGGGATAGGCAACTATGGCCCCTTTACAACCTATGGACTTCAACTCCCAGAAATCCTGAGCCAGCATGGTTGGCTCCAGAATTCTGGGAATTGAAGTCCACAGATTATAAAAAGGACATTGTTGCCTACCCCCATTTGTTTAACAACTGTTCAAAGTTACAAAGGTGCTGAAAAAAGTGACTTACGACAGGTTCTCATATTTATGATCATCACAGCATTCTCCCTGTCACATGATCAAAATTTGGGCACTTGGGAATCAGCATGTATTTACAATGATTGCTACATCCTGGGATCACATGATCAACCTTCCCAAGGGGTTTCCAACAAGCAATGTGGTCACTTAATGACCACATGATTTGCTTAAGGACTCAGCAAAAAAGGTTGTAAAAGTGGGTGCTATTCACTTAAAAATTGCATCACTTAGTGACAGAGGTCCTGGTCCCTATTGTGGTCCTGAGTCAAGGACTATCTGTAGATGCAACACAATGGGATTCATTGCAAAGCTCATCAAGATTTGCCACAGGGGTCCAGAACATTTTCTGTTTAAGGCTTCACCTTTCCCCTGTAGGGTGTTCTGGCGGGGCCATAATCTCCCACTGAGTAGGGCCAGGCTAAAAACTTCAACCAGATCGCTTTTGTTTGTATGCATCATTAACATTGCATTGAATTTATTCAACACAAGTACCAAGATGACTCTTTATATATCTAATAGTTTTTCGCTTCATCGCAATAACCACTACAGTTACTAGCAGTTCTTAGTGAAACTTGTGGGGCACCAGTATCCAAAATGGTGCAGAGTTATGGATAACTCTGGGACTTTGGATTATAGGTCTCTGCCTTAAAACAACAGCAATTAATATAACTTTGTAAATACATAGACAAAGGAGTAAGTATTTCTGTTGAAACCCAAATGCCTTTGTGGATCAATTTAAGCAACAATGGGAGGCTAAAGAAAGTAATATTCTCAGAAAGAAATAGTTTATTCTGGAGAAACAGAACTGACTGGTGCCTAACAAAAGTCTACAGGATATTTTTTTTTTACCTTCACAGCAACCAAGATCTTATCCTGTTCAGAATATAGGTTATAACATTCAGCCAAGAAAACTTTGCCAAAGGCTCCTTCTCCCAGCTCCCTCTTGAGGACGATATTGTGGCGCTTGATATGCTGGACAACTGCAAGGTAAAAAAGTGAGGATCAGTCATTAGTTTCTAGTTAGATTGTCAATAGCAGAGGCTTACAGCATGTTAAATGAAGCTTGCTATCTGGGTTTGCCAAGTCCTGTTGAAATGGGTCATAGAAAGTGAGGTGTCTAGGTTTTGCCCCTTCTCATGATTAAAAAAAGGTGAAAACGAATAGTCTTCTATTGAGTTGTTTAAAGGTAAAGCCTTAACCACTCTACACATCATTAAAGACAATTAATAACTCTAAGAGTATTCGACTTTTGTTAAAAGGAAACAAGATGGTTGTAATGTGGAACAGCCAAAAGATTGTGAAATACATAGCATTGCTTTGAGAAGATGTTAGATGGAACCCAAGGTGGTAGAAAACAAAACAAAAATCGCATAAAATAAATAAATATATTCATTTTAATATTTCATTTATATATTTATTTTCACTATGTATATAGCTGCCCAATTCAAACAGTGTGATTCTGGATGAAGCGCAGCAAAAATAAACATTAATAAAAAAAGCAATCACCCATGCCTCATTAAAAAGCAGTCCGATATATAAAATGGTGAATATAATTTAATATTGAATATAATATAATTTCAAACAACCAGAAAGAGACTCCCGTCAAGTGAGTCCTGCATGGCTGGAGAAAATGTCAAGTACCTGCTCACAAGCTTAAAACCTTAACTAATTTCTTGTACTTTCATTTAGACAATATGAAACGTGTAAAGTGAAAAGAAAAGGAAAGAAGGTGTGAAAAAAAAGATAGGAAAGTGAAAATGATAAAGTTTAAAGAATGTCAAAGTTCAGAATTATTCCAGCACTGGATGAGACATCTTAGCTGGGCTTCCTGCTTCAAAACAGGCTGTGTTCAAATAATTTGCAGTATGGCTGTTGTATTATTATTATCCTTCTTATTATCTTCTTTACTTCCCCCTCTTATTGGGATGATGATGATTGATGATGATGATGACGATGATGATAATTCTATTCTTTTGCATGTACACCGCGAGCCTCTGCACTGGAGACAAATTCCTTGTGTTTCTGATCATATTTGGCCAAATAAAGTATTCATTCAATCAATCTATCAACCAATCAATTTCTTACAGCTGCCTGGTCATCTTTTTATTAATATTACTGGACCATATGACCTTATAATCTTTTCAGGTAATTTGCTTTATTTCCTTATTCATCTTTATGCTCATATATACCACTATGACAACTTCAAGTAACAAATACTTGGGAGTATTTGTGTCAGTATTTAATGGAACAATGCCAGCGCTGTCCAGATTGAGTCTTTCTGAACTCCTTGGGTGGTAATGGAAGGAGATTTCACAGACCTTGCAGAGATCCTATACATGTGGGCCATGCTGGGTTAGGAAAACTGTCACAGAAAGAGTTAATTCCTACCTGTCAAGGACTGCATGCATTGTATGTTGTTTTTTACTCAGATTTTAATTTGTGTTTCTTCAAAATCAAATAAAAATGGACAGGAACCATAAAAATAACAAATATCATAGCATCAGTCATTAACATACATCCCTCCACCTTAAAACAAACCTCTCCAACTATTCAAAGAATGCCAAAGCAATAGTTAATAAAAATAAATTTAACTGGGAAACCCAAACTTACAATGCAGGAAAGAAAGTGATCAAATAAACACAGAATCGTAAAACTATTTTATACATGATATACTTGTATAGAATCTAGTATAGAATGTAGTATAGATCAGCTGCTGTAATCTTCACCGAAAGCTTTCAAAAGGTCAATATACATTGATCTGAACCCCAACTGGATTTCTTCCAGTTAATACAAAATGTGGTGATGACCACCAACTCAGGTGATTTACAACGAGAATTAGATAAAATAAGGACAAAAAACCAGTGGCAGGTAATCCTAATGGCTATGACACTTCCAGAATCAAAGGAACAATTTCTCTGAATAGTGGTCCCTGGAAAACAAAAGCCCCATATTATTCTTCTGGGCCTATTATGGGCCCTGCAGAGGATGAGGAATGTGAGTAGATTGATCTTTAGTCCAACCAGCACTATTCAACTTGCATGAATTGCATTAAAAGTTGTCTTCTTGTCAATGAAGAAGACAACTGTGGTGCTGAAATAACTCCTAAAAGATATCTGGAATAACTTTACAGAAAAGTATTCATTTTTGATAGAATCAAGACTGTTAATCATCTGGGGACATCTCTGATCCTGTGGACTTCAGGAAATAAATTAAAAGGAGGAAAACAAAGCACATTTGTCTCATGTCACAATCATTTTTTAGTTCCTTTAACAACTGTTTCTCTTTATTAACTGGGGGGGGAAGGGATCAGAATTTCATATAAGGGTGAAAACAAAGTATGTCCTCTTTTAATTGAATCCAGCTTTCTCTGTGGCTCCGATCTCTTGTTCTTCTTAAACTGCCTCTTATTCTGTCTGTTTCATTCAACAAGTAGGATAAAGAAGGCATTTCATTCTATCAAATAAGATTTACAGTTGTGGTCATGGTAAAAAAAAGGGGAGAGATAGATATAAGAAAGAAGATGGGCCAATATTTCTAAAGGAGTTTGTTCAATAGATTGCTAAAGGAACTTATTGCTAATAGACTTAAACTTTGGTTTCACTGGTGGTTTTCCTTGAAGTCTCCTTTTTGAAAATAGTTAAGATTTAGGGCAGGTGTCTTCAAACTTGGTCCTTTTAGACTTGTGGACTTCATGCTCCTTGGGTCTGTTTTTTGTTGTTATTGTTTTTTTTGTTGTTGTTTTGCTGTACCTTCAAGTCATTGTTGTCTCCTGGCTACTGCTGTGTGCCATTAATTCTATATAACAACTCTGTCTGTTTCATAGTCTCATGAGATAATGAGAACAGTCTATAGTTGTGCAAAGGATACTGCAATAATAAGATAAGGAAAGCTAGCTTATTTGTTTATCCATAATTATAACATGATCTTTGTAAAAATGGTTGCAAAATCCAACATCCCACATTTAAATTGAATAAGGGAGCCTAATCACAGAGCAAACTAAACCTCCAGTTGTAAACTCGGGTTTTCCAATTTAATTGAGACTAAGCTTTGTTGAACGAATTTTTTTCTATGAAGACCTGAACTAATCTTATATGCTGATTTAGCTGGCTTTCTTTTCTATAGCATTCAGTACCTTCCAGATGTATTGGGACTTAATTCCCTGAAAGTTGTAGTCCCTAAACATCTAGACCACACCAGGTGGGAGAAGCCTGATAAACTTTAATTGTTAGTTGCACCACAATATCTAGGCAAACATCTTTCTCCTTCAGATCCTTTCACTGGAGGACCTTGACACCGGACCTTCTACACGTGTTCTAAGATGAGTGGATAGTAGGTGTTGTGAATTGAAGGAGCAGCAGGCTGTAAGTGCAAGACACTGACTTTCCTGCTAAGGGCCAAGGAAAGACCATCTAGCAGAAATACAGAAGTGCTGGATTTATTATAAAGGAAGGCTAATAGTTTACTCTTGGGGTGCAATGACTGGGAATCTACCGGAAACTCAACAGATAGGATAATTCATAATATGATGTTAAGTCTAATAGCAAGCAGATCACATCCTAATTTTTCTGTACTAGCTGCCGTTCTTAGTCTCTCTCTCCAAATGCCTCTCTCTTTCTGAGTTGATAATTACAACATTTGATGCCAAGCAGCTGTCACTGAGGAACAGGAGCTGCCCAAATACTTCCGCTGCACAATGCATGCAGGCTTATTGGCTAATTTAGTACACTATAATGAACTCTCCCATTGGCTTCCTTCCATCCATAGCATGGGACACAGTGAAACATAGACTACAAGCTTGGACATTTTGTTCTGATGCATCTGAAAGGAGAGGAAACAATTGGGAGAATCTGTACTCACAATTGTCCATTACGCCCAGCAAACTCTTGCTTAAATAGGGAGCATCCGGAAAACATCCCAGAGTGGCTGTGATTGTCAGAAGGGTAACGGATGTAGCCTTTTACCAGATGTAAGGTGCTGCTGAATAAGTATGCACATGGCTAAAGGGCAATTCACACACCCACACACCCATAGGGGAAGGGGGAGGG